TTTTATTCATATGAAAGAGAGAGGGGTCGAAAGCAAATATGGCAAAATGTTGACATCTGATTATCTTAACGGTGGGTACATCGATCATATTTTTCTGTATTTTTAATGTTTAAAATCAATCACAATGAAAAAAAATGAACTAAAAAAAGAGCCCTTTTAAAAAGGTGAGTTCCTCAGTAGAACAGAGCCTGTTTCACAGGAATTGGGTCATAGAAAGTGAGTAGCAATCGGTAAAGGCATTAAAGAAAGTAAAGGAGGCCACTATGGATAAGTAGGGGCAGAAGATTTGAATTATGAGAAAAAAATAAGTAGGTAATAACTGACCTATTTTTGTGAGAAGGGAAATAAATAGCAAGAGTAGAGACTGAGATTTTGAGTGGTCTATCTGATGGTGGCGCATCCATGTCTGTGCCATTTGTCATGGTCCAATGTGAAGGCAAGTCCGAAAGAAGAACTTTGCTTGCTGATGTTGGACATCCTCTTGCCTCATCTCCTCTCCTCCATCTGATGGAAAGAGGAAACTGAGCCAAATGCCGTTAGCTCATCAGCTTCCTTGGCTCTATCCTCTCACCTCCACAATTCCACATCTGTCTCCTTGGCTGAACTCTAAGTCCTTTGGCTTCACTTGTTCAGGGTGTTGACCTTAAACTGGGATTTGAGTGATAGAAAAATTGGTTGAGGTCCAGGTCTGCTGCAAGAGAGGATTATGGGCAACAAGATGGCTGCTATTATAAACATTCATTGCCCCTGACCACCCACTACCAAGCATACTTTTACTTTCTGTGATTGCCACAGATTCCATATCTTAAACTTTTCAAAGTTTCAAAGCTTCACTTGAATTATCTCAATTGACCGCATAGCAATACCATGAAATAGGCAAAGCAGGTATCATTCTCATTTTACAGGTGGGTTAACAGTCACAAAGAGGTTAGACGAGTTCGCCAGGATTACAGAGGAGAACTCTCGTTTTTCCCCGTCATCTGGGCTTAGAACACTGAAACCCTCTAGAGCTCATCTGTCTATTCCTGTATCCAGCAAAGCACCAGTTCCGTTAGATTGTTCCTACCTAGTATCTGTTTCCATTTCTTCTTCTCCACCTCCTCTTCCACTCTCCACATTTGGATCCTTACCACCCCCTGCCTGAATTATAACTGGGGAGCTGGCTTTCCAGATGCCACTTTTTCCTCATTCCTCTCCATCCTGCATTATCTTTCTAGACTAAACTTCCTTAAACATTGCTTTCATTATGTCATTTCCTTGCTCAAAAATCTTTTGACGCTCTGTTTCTTTCTATGTTGAATGGAAGCTCTTCAGCCAGGATTTCAAAGTTCTCCTTAATCTGAACTCACCTTTTCAACTACTCAAAACAGGTGCTTTAAAAATAAAAATGGGTTTGCGGGGAGGACAGAAATGGGCTGGAAGAGGTTAATAGGGGGGAAAGGAGGACCTATACAATACTTTCAACAATAAAGATTTAAAATAAATAAAATTAAATAAAATAAAAATGGATAGGTGGAGGGGGAAGAGGGAATAGAGGGGGCAAAAGGTGCTGGAAAAATAAAATAAAAATAAAAATGGCAACCAAACACATGCAAGAATGTACAAAGAAACCCAAATTAAAACAACAGCCTAGCTGGTGTGGCTCAGTGATTGAGCTTCCACCTATGAACCAAGAGATCATGGTTCAATTCCCTGTCAGGGCACATGCCCGGGTTGCAGGCTCGATCCCCAGTAGGGGGTGTGCAGGAGGCAGCGGATCAATGATGTTTCTCTCTCATTGATGTTTCTATCTGTTCCTCTCCTTTTCTCTCTAAAAATCAATAAAACTCATTTTTTTAAAACCCACAATGATCTTCATCTATCAAACCAGCAAAGTTCTGTGTTTTGCATTTTTAGATAATATTGCTCAATATTGGCAGTTCGGTGATAAAATAGTCTCTGATCCACTGCTGTTAAAGTGTTAATTGGCTTGATCTTTTTGGAAGGCAATTTGGTTATATGAATCAAGAGCTTTTGACTTAATCTGTTTCTGGAAATTTACGCTAAGGAAATAATCTGAAATACAGAAAAACCTTTATGCCTAAAGATGTTAATTGCACTATTATTTATAGTTATGAGCAATTAGATATATAACCCAATGCCAATGAATAGGGAACACACACATAATGAATGATTATATAAGATCATGCCCGGTGTCACCTCTCCTGCTCCCCCCAGACCCTGGCCTTGGTGGCTTTCACCCCTGCCTCCACCCTCTGACTGAGATTTGCATGTTCCACTAACCCAGGCAGGTGGAGGGTGGCGACACCAGGCTTTTAGCTGCCTCAGGGCAGAACACTAACCTGACCATGGGTGTGACAGCAGCACATGAGCATGGGGGAACACTTATGTTATGATATTGGGGAGTGGGGAGTCAGAATTTAATAATTAGGAAAAGTCTTACATTTCACCACTAAATTTGTTTTCTCTCTCCCAGCACCTTATTTCACACCTTTTTCTCTCTCTTCAAAACTCCAAAATTCCCTCCTCTTCCTGAATTTAAACACGAGTACCACTTATTTATTCAGAATATATATCATCAGATTATCCAATTTACCTGTTCCTTTATACTCTGCAATCCTTCCTGTTAAAATGAATTAACTATTCCTATTCTTAACCAAGGACAATTTGGGCACAGAATTCCATTCCCTCTCACATCAGAAATTTTACGTACTAGCATTATTTCTTCTGTTCCAGCATCATCTCTCTCTCCCTCTCTCATTCACTCAGATTTTTCCTATTAACACAAGAGCATACTATAAAATTTCACATTTTGAAAAAGAATTCATTCTTTGGCCTCATGTCATTCTCCAGCTACCTCCTTGAAAGTAATCTCTACTTCATCATCTCCCATTCTTTAAGGGGCAGTAATCATGCTATTGCTCCCACACTTCACAGAAATGGCTGGTTGTCAAACCCAGTGGTCAGTTATCGCTGTTCACCTTAGTCTCTCAGCAGAATTGCACAGAACTGACCACTCTGTCCTTTGTGAATGCTCTCCTTGCGTTCTGAGACTCCCGCCCTCACTGGGTTCTGAGACTCCCCGCCCTCACTGGGTTCTGAGACTCCCACCCCTCACTGGGTTCTGAGACTCCCACCCGCTACTCCTTCTCTGTTGCTGCCTCACTGGGTTCTGAGACTCCCATTGCTCAGTCTTAGGAGATGCTCTCTTCTCTATCTGGACTCACAACCGATGAGGTTTATTTCTATCCCTGTGGCTTTACATGCCTTCTGTGTGTTGGTTCCATATAGCCTTCTCTAATCCCCATCTTCTGCCTGAGCTCCAGTGAAACCTCCTTTGGGGTATGTAATAGGCACATCAAACCGTGTGCAAAACCGAACTCTTGGTTTTCCTCCCATGAACCTGCTCACCCACAAGAAAGGTACCACTATTCTCCCAGGTATTCAAATCATTAATGTATTACTCCTTTTCACCTGCCACATGCTAATCCCTATGCAAGCTGATTGGTTCTGCCTTCACAAATATTTCCCAAACCACCAATTCTTACAACTTCCAACATAGTCTCTCTAGGATAAAGCCACATATCTTTCATAGACAACTTCAAAAGCTTGCTAACTGCTCTCCCAGCTTCCACCCTGGCCCTGTGCAGTCTTGCAGCCCTCCAGTGGCTTTCTTCTGTGCTTAGAATAAAATCCTAAATCTTTACCATGGCTGTGTGCTCTCCTAGCTCTCATCTCTCCGGGTGCTTGTTCTTCTCTATTCACA